ATGAAAATACCGCATTATTCTACTACTACACACCAACATTAAATACAAATTATTAAATCGCCATATTCCGGCGCCGGAATTATTTCCGTTCTAATGCCAAAGCAAATATTTATCTAGTCAGTAAAAGCCACTGGAATTTGTTGTTAAAAGTCAAAGATCACAGAAGCAAACATAAGTTAGCAAACTCAAGGCGCCGGGAAAATCATTAAAATCTTCGCCTGCCTACTAATTTCTCTCGTTAGGTTAAGTTAGGAGAATGGTATATTGCGGAGCTCTACAAACTGGGGGCTTCGAAGCCCGATGGGTCACGGAAGGGCTCAATTGGGGTCGCGGTAAAATCTTTTACGACACTAACTTATATTGAAACAAAATATCGATCAAATTTGAAAGATTTTGAACCAGTTCTGATACCCGCCAATACCGAGACAAGATTCGTTCTTTTGCGCCAGAAGGTGACCGTACATTTAAACCCATGTGTATATTCGCGGGTTCAATCTATATGCGGGTGCTAAAACCCATGGGTCAGGGTTAGTATGGGTTCAAATATTCGTGAAACAAAAAAATTCCATATGTGCAATAGTATGCAGGTGCAATTGTCATGGATTCAAATGTACGTGGGGTTCAAATGTAATGGGACCGTGCCAGAATATTCTAGCGCATCGGTATTATTAACAGTATTGCTAATTTTCAAATTCACAAAAAGCAAACATGGGCAAGCAAACTTCCGGCGCCGGAAAAATGATTAAAAGGATAATGGGTACGCCCGATTACTCTACGCCCGATGGTTTATCTAAATTACCTCGGAGTTCGTTAGATATTTTTCAAAATTTTAGCGCGACTCCGTTCACTACGGTAACTATCCGCAAAGCTCATATTCATTCCAAAAGCCCCCCTCTCCTCGGCGCTCCAGAAGTATGTCTACCAATGGCGGTAACTAATTTTGTTCGCTTACTTTTACATCAAGTTGTGTAAAGGGACTGAAACCTATGGGCAGGGGGTATATCCACTTGGCTAACACATACAGTCCCCGAACTCGTGATGGAACTTAAAATAAGAAAAATTGAAATAAAATTATGACCTAACCGTAACCTGGTACACACATTACGGGAGGACCCTGCAAATTGGGGTATCTTCCCCCGGTGGGTCGCAAAAGGGCTCAATGGGGATCCCGGTAAAATCTTTTTCGACACTAACTTATGTTAAACCGGCACTCAGGCCCACCATCACATAAATAGAGCCGAAATTCGATCTTTTGTGAAAAAAAAGCAAGCGCATCGGTCTTATCAAAGATATTTTTAAATTTGCAGGAAGCAAATTTATAAACGAGGGTTTCTGAAATTTTGTAGTTGTCAAAAAAGACCGTAACAGCAGGCGGGTTCCGCCGGAAAGCATTGGTTTTCGAGTCTTGTTAGTCTAAAAAGCGTTTCATTCTACGCAAAATTGCTATTTATGAAACAGACAACCCTGACAAAACTTGGAGTCTGAAAAAGTCTCAACTTTTTGAATCCGGATTCAGTAGTGAAAAACGAACCCGGCTTTCGATTTCGAATTACCAGGATTTTGACCCGGAAATGCAGCCTCAGACAAGCATTTCGGCGCTTCAGAAGTATGTGTACCAATATGGAGGTAACTAATTTTGTTCGCCTACTTTACATCAAGTTCTATAAAGGGACGGGAGCCTATGGGCAGGGAGGATATTCACTTGGCTAACACAGACAGTCCCCTAACTCGTAATAGAACTAAAATAAGGAAAATAGAAATACAATTATGGCCTAATTCTAACCTGGTACACATACTACGTAAGTACCGCATTTTGACGGCTTCTATTTTTTTTTTAGGAGAAACACTCCGACAGGTTCCGCTGTCGATTAGGACGTTGCAGTTACAATACCTAGCGTAAACAAATTTTGACAGCTCGCTATCATCATCTAGTGTGCACTATATGAGGCATTGATATTGCTAACCTCGACAAAAGCTTGGAGTCTGAAAAAAGTTTCATATCACTCCGGATTATAAACAATGACTCCAAATCCGGACTACTGAAAAATCGACTCGGGCTTCAACTCTCGAATAGCAAAATCTTGACTACAAAAATCTTGTCGAATGCAGACCTCAAAGCCCAAAAAGGAAAAATTTCGATATCAATGTCTCTGGTGAAGTTTTGAAATTCGCCAGAGAGTGAAGGCATCACCAGATGCTTTCACGGTCGAATCATTATCACCGACGCCTCCAACAACAATTAATCCTGAAGTCATCCAAAATCTCCCCCCCCCCCCCACACACACCTTTTGAACGCAAAAAAAAATCTGCATTATACATACGATTATTCGTACTTTGAAATGCTTTTTAGACCCTCAAGACAATGGCAATTACAAATTTCAGTCCCTTCCTTTAAAAATTTCCTAGCTACACGCATGGGTCAGACCAGAAGAACAGAGTTGAAATGTGAAATTTAAATACCACTCAGTCACTCCGAGAAATTCGGGATGCTTGTCTTCTGGATACCAATAGCTGTTGAGGCCCGCGGGGCGCTTTTTGCTCACCCACATCCTAGACCAGTGGTTCTCAACCTTTTTTCTTCCGTGGCCCACTTTTGTTGCTCAAAAAATCTCGTGGCCCATTAACTTTTTATTGCAAGGGGAAAACTACAAAAAAATCAAGATCTTTCTGCAAAAATGGACCCTTCAGGCTTCAACGTTTATAATTAGAATAAAAATTACGTAGCACTCAGTAGCAGAAACAGCATTGTCATTGATTGCTGCTACAATCAAAATTGACTATTTTGACATAAATAAAACAAGCAATTTTCAATAGTACTGTGGCCCACCTCAAAATCTTCTGTGGCCCAGCAGTGGGCCATGGCCCACTGGTTGAGAACCAGTGTCCTAGACAAATTATTAGAAAATTATTAAAAAATACCCGGCTTGACATACTTAGGCCACTAAAGGTTTCCCGCGCCTCCCGTTACCCAGGATTGCAATTTTTACATCTTCTTGCATTATTTATTCACAAAGTGTATTTCGTGTTTGGTGCAATATTAAGCTACTGACTATAGTAAATCCCAATTTATTATCGCGAATACTTAGAATTTAGGATTTTTTTTATTTTTAATTACTTTTACTTCTCGGTGTTTATCTTTTATAAGCATTCACAAAGTTACAAACTAACTGTGTTCATTTTTCAATTACTATTAAATCCAGCTAACTTTGCTGTATATTTTAATAGCATATGTGACTCATATTTTACAATTAATTGCGACTTCTTTAAAAATAGAATATTGCAAAATACTGAAATTAATTCTGCGATGTCATTGTTTATCACATAATGGCCACGCGTCGTCGCTAGTCTGATTAGGTTCTGAAACTGCGTCACGACATAAGTGCATGAAATTTTCTATATATATCCAAATGAGGTAAATTTTTAGGCATAAAAGCGAAGCGGAAAAACATATCAGTATAGTTTGATATCGATTACATAAAAACAAGTAGCTAATGGAACAGTTAGCTAAGTTTTCGAAGTTTGAAAGAATATGTTTTGAACATGGTAATTTCTAGACGTGATTCAAAGACATTTTTAAAAGTAGAATTGTTGCTGTTAAAGTTATTCGGCTACTTTCGAAGTCTAAAGGACTAAACTATAAGTATACATATAATATATGTATATGTGTGTGCTATATCAAGAATGTGAGATAAGAAGAATAATCAAACTTGGTTGAAAACTCAGACTAAAACTTTAAAATAGCGTAAGAATTAATAGGTAAGAATTAATAAGATTGTTACTTCGAGTCTTATGTTGCGTTTGCCTCAGGCGATGAAGTCAAACGAAGCAATCGGCGTCGTGGTGTGAGGTAAAGATAGACGGCTGCTTTAATATATCATTGCTGACTTGGCCTGGTGTATAAATGGTAAAGGCTGGTCGTCAACTATACCGACACACTCTGTGCGATAAGAATTGCCTTTTACCTAAATACAGAATTACGATGTAGCTTACTTACGACCCTTACTAGTCCAGGTATACAGTATAAGAATATTGATCTATACGAAATGATTTATAAAAGGTAAATTTAATATTTCACACCTCGAATCAGCGCGGACCCTATGTCCCACAAGATTTCAAATTTTCATTTACAAAACTGCGATGCACAAGCACTGCATTGAAAAGACCTATAAATAACAAATAATTTTATTAGAGCCAAATATTTATGAATCCTTTGAATTTTATATTTGAAAATTTTAGCCGTGAAACTTGATTGAATGTGAGTTATTGCCCGTTTACTGACCGTTTACTTAGGTTTCTTCAAGAACTTCAGTTATGAAAAATTGTTTTTTTTAGTCCGTCATCAATGCTTATTTACTAAAGTGTAATTCGACGCTATAAATATATACAGCAGTAGTTCTTAACCTTTTATGGCTAATGGCCCGTTTCCGGAGGCTTTTCGCACTCATAGCCCCCACGTGGGGCTCCCGAAGTATGCGAACCAAGATGGCGGACATCGGAATGTAATATGTGTACTAGGTTAGGGTTAGGCCATAATTTTAGGTATAAATACTACGGGAGGCTCTTGGCTAGTCTTCGAACTGGTAATAGGACTAAAATAAGGAAAATTGGAAAAAAATTATCGCCTAACCCTAACCTGTTACCCATGTTACGTTCCGATGTCCGCCATCTTGGTTCGCATACTTCGGGAGCACCCCCCCTGTTTATTATTTAAGTGGTAGTTATAGCGTTATTTTACCTTATGGAAATGTAAAAAATGGGAGGTTTTCTTGGAAAGTGAAAAGTAAAATCCTTTTTGCGCTTAGCATTATGGCCCCCGCTGCAGTATGTGGTCACAGTAGCTATTAGACGTCATCAGTGATCGCCAGTATTTTGCTTGGAGATTAATTTACGGTTGAGAAATCTTTTTCGAAGTTAGTGCGCAAATCCTAACAATAAATTTCCTTAAAAAAAGTCCTTCCAACTATATTCAGCGTTTTTTTTGAAAGACACTCAAACAATTTTGATTTTTCTAGGTATAAGGTAAATATCCTGAAACCTCGAGATGAAAATCTCAATAGTTTTTAGCTTAATCTACGTCATCGTCTCATCCTGGTGTCAAAATGAAACAGTGTTTCACTGCTCTCCCAAGCCTGGTTGCCAGATTGCACAATGTGATCCGGTTGCTGTAGGATGGGACAGGCCAGGCTTCAACATTGATGAACATCTGCATGACAAAGAGTTTCCTATTACGTGCAAATCTAAGAATGCGGAACAACCTCAGAATGCTTTTAGCCTGTTTCCCTTCGTATCCAGGAATACTATGGGTACTTAGGTTTTATTTAAATTGATAATTTTAGATTACTTGGCCCAAAAATGAGTCGAGCAAAAATTACTAAATATAGCCGAGTCTCTATTTTTTACTGTTTTGACATTGGATCGATAAATTACGTATTGGTGATGAAAGCCTCATTCAATGGCTGTCTGTCTTTATCGTGTATTCATTTACCACACACTTGACTTTAATATATTAATCGTTCCAAACAATTTGAATATGATCTACTATGTGACAATTCATTTCAAATTCATTCAGATATTGGAAGTATCAAATCAGAATTGAAAGAGCTGGAAGGAAACTCCAACAAAAACGCAGAAAATATTGATGCATTGAAGCGGAATTATTCCGGTTAGAACTTACAATATTCATTTCGTCATCCCGAGGTACTTGATTGAATAGGGTTTTTATCCTTAAAAATAAAAGAACCCCGATATTAGTTGATAAATGGCGCGACAACTCTTTCAATTGTCATGGTGCATTTCATCTATTCGTCTGGATCACCAGACATTGTATAATCGTGTTACTTTGTAGACGTTTGTTTATGATCAATGTTTAATATGTATTGTTGCGTTGTGCCAATGTTAGCAACGAAACAGGGTGTCAAAAGTGGGATTCGAACCCACGCCTTCATTCGGAGACCAGAACTTTACCTATCAGAGTTTATAAAAAGTTACTTTCAAATTTTCTGTAGCTTTAGGTTATTCCTTCCAGATATCTGTTCAGAAAATCAAAAAATTTATTTATTTCATCAGAAAATCGCGAATCTAGCAAAATCAAAGAACAATCTGCAAGATACGCAAATGTTTTTTTAAATTACGACAGCCGCAGCCATTTGAAACTTTTCCATTTCATGTTACTATTGACTGACTATTTGGGTGATGAAACTACTGATGCTACAACCACTAAAATTAGATTAAGCCATTCGAATGTTATTGTAAACTACCATGAATCGTAAACGCCAATCACCAAAAGTCTGATTAAATCTGGTATTCATTCGAGCAACTGAAAATTTTTCAAAATGTCAAATTGATTTTACTTTATTTCTCAGACATCAGTAACATCAAATCAGAATTCAAAGAGTTGGAGGAAAACGTTGATGAAAAAATGAAAAGCATTCATAGCTTTGAGAAAGAAATTTCAAGTTCGTAATAATGATACAATTATTCGTTATCCGAAGTTTCTTCAGTGTTTCTAACTTGACCAAAGTTTGCATAAGTACGTTTGATAACTAAAGGAAGGTGGAATTTAAAAAAAATCTACTTTGAAATCTTGCTTTAAGGTATTACTGCCATGATGATTAATTTTTAACTGTATATGTCACGCAGTAATTCGTGAAATACAGAATGAAAATGCGGAGCAATTTGCTGAAATAGCTGACCTAAAACAGAGCCGTGAAGAACAATCAGCTGAAATCAGGGAATTGAAGAAAGGTGTGTGTGGTTTATTTTAATCTAGTGAAATAGGAACTCTTTTTCTGTATGAAGTCTAGAAAATGGACGCTATCGGAAACATGCTTCTATGATTTTGACATTCAGAATTGAAAAATCCGCATTGGAGACCAACACTTAGCACAATACCATGTCACACAAAATTCCAAATATGTACAACGAACGAAAACGAGTTGAATTAGAAAAATGAATAACAATGAGTAGACTCGGCAATTCACATGCATCCAGTGTTTTATGTAATATTTCTTTCTTTAGATTTAGTCCGACTTGAAACGATGAACAGCGAGCTACTGAAAGAATTGAACGAACAAAAGCAAACAAACAATGAGATGAAGAAATGTAAAATTGCGCAAATATACCTCAGCCGATGAAATAAAATCATACTAATAATTTCAAATTTTTAATTCATAGATTTACAACAAAATGGAGTACCATATGTACGTGAAAATTAATACAGATAGATTCTAAAGACTTTTTGCTGTAATGCTGGAAATAGACTCTAACTTATGTATATTCTTCTATTCAGCAATGGAGCGGATTGAAGAAAAACTCTCTGCAACGGAGAAGCCTCGACAGGTTCAATCTGGAAACCAACAGAGACCGACGACAACAACCAAAACAACATTGAAACCGACTCCTTCCCCAGGTAAGCAATTATAATCAGAGGCGCTGTGAAGATCTCATTCAGGAGTTTGGAGTCGAACTTGATTCCACCGGAGTCGGAGCTTGGGTAAAATTTCTAAGCTTCCGGATTTCCCCGAAATTCGGGATTAGAAAATTCATATTTTCAATGGCAATAGTGAAAAGTCTAATTTTACAGAAACTCAAGTTATCAAGTTTACTTACCGTTGTTAACTTGACTATGCCCATGTCTTTCAACTCAAAGTCAAATTTTATTTGACGCTGCACTCGATTGTGAAGTTTCCTAGCTGCACATCTCTGTTCAGAATACCACAGTAATAACAACTTCATAACTGTCGTAAGAGTTTGTCTATAGTTAGCAAGAGTAAGATACTTTCTCTAAAACGTAGCGATCTGTGTTCTAAGAAGATGTCTAACCAGACACCTATTGAAGTGTAATTTGCAATGTGTAAATGAGATATGAAAACCAATTATGGAGACAGAAAGTACACGTTGATCGGTGCGGGCAAAATTTTTATTATGATCAATAATAACACTGTTTGAGTATGTAAAACTGCAAATAAAATTTCTTACATTTCAGAAAACTGCAAATTGAAGATTAGAAATATCTGTTTTTTCGCTGTGACACGAGTTGAAGAAGATGGCAACTACGACAAAGCAGTTGATATCTGCAAGAAACGTAACGCAGATGTTGGTTTGATTCGAGATGAAGAATCTTACAATGCGATTATGGATTACCTGAGAAAGAATATTCTAAAGAGAAGGCCGTGGATCCACATATGGACTGGAATCCACTTTGATCCAATGGTTATTGTCATATGCCTGTTCTATTTATACTTTCAAAATACAATGATATGCTATTAGATGGGTAAAATGAAGGCAAATGCAATACAACAACAGATATTTGAAAATATCACACTAGCGATCTTAAAAGGCAACGATAACATTGTTACCAATCCGAGATATTTTACACATTAGTATAGTTGGATTGCTGATTGAAGGAAACCATCTGTCCTGATGATTGTGATGGAAATATGTATGTCAAGTGAATAAGGAATCTGCTAAATGCTTGGTTTCTTCTTTTTCATTACTGTAGATTGCGCTCATAACACATCAGATCCTTTGAGTACAGGGGTCACTGTTTGAGGTTCCGTACTTTTGAAATGTAATACGTATGTACGAGTGATAACGAATATCTTAATCAGTGTTTAATTTTATAGGAATTGTGCTGTTCCTAACAAGTTAATACCCAGCCACATGAACCTAAAGTTTTTTTTACCGCATATAAGAGACTATTAAGAATTACAGTTGATCAAGCATAATCCAACGATAATCTTCATCTAATAATTTTTACTGTTTGTTCTCAGACTCGTGAAGTCACACCTGCAGATTCATTTATTAAATGGCATCAAGGTTCTCCAAACACGGGAATTCATAATAAAGATTTCACATATGTTTATCTCAATATTTCGCCATTGTTTGGATTACAAGGGATGGACAATTCTGGTTCCTTCAATCATCATGGAGTTATTTGTGAGATCCAGATCTAATAAACGTATGCCTATGATATATAAATCATTAATTCCCACTTTGAAATTGATGTCGAAAATTTATTGAGAGTTTGAATAAAAATAGCAAACATTCTATAACAGTATGACCTATGTGTTTAAATGGTTTTATCTGTCATATTGTTTCGTTTTACCAGTCTGACTACTTTGCATTATAAAAATATGGTTGTGAAATTCAGAGATTTTGATATTTGATTTATGCAATTTTAAAAACTCGAAAATAAAAAAGTATTACAAACTTGCCTCATTAATTCGAAATAAATTTTGCTCCAATGTAACATATTTTTTGTTGTTTTTCCGTCTGTTTCTCAAAGGAATCGGGTTGAGTTAAAAATAGTTCAGACTCGTTTAATTAAAAGAGCTTATCACATATAAATAGTAAATATATTATTGGGACAATCCGCCAAGAATGTTTGACTTTCCCATAAGTTAAATAGGATTCGAAGCTAGACAATACATAGGAGGGATGGGGGAGGTAGGGCATTAGGTGGAGGACATGGAGGCTGATGGAGATAGGGCAGTGGGTGGAGGATAGGAAGGCAGAGGGCAGTGGTTCGGGAATATGAAGGACGGGAGAGATAGGGCGGTAGGTCGAGGATAATAGGGCTAAGGAAGTAAGGAGCAGTGGGTCTAGGATGTGAAGGCTGAAGGAGATAGAGCAGTAGGTTGTAACTGAGAAGGATGACGGGTATAGGGCAGTGAGCAGAAGATATGGAGGAGATAAGGCAGTGAGTTAAAGATAGGAGAGCTTATGGAGTTAGGGTAGTGCGTCGATGATAGGAAGGCTAAGGGAGATAAGCCAGTGGGTCGAAATCGGAAGAATGAAGGAGATAGGGACGTAAATCAGAAAGCCTTGGAAGGTAGGGCAGATTATAGAAGATAGTAAGGTTGAAAGAGATAGGGCAGTGGGTACAAGATATGAAAGCTGAGGGAGATAGGGCAGTGAGTCAAAGACACGAACACTGATGGAGATAGAGCAGAAAGAAACACACGCGTGGAGTTGATAGCAAAGAACGCATTGTTCGCTACTAATTAATTTTCGTATGTAGTTGGAAATAAATTACGTGCACGACTAGTAATAATTAAATATATCGTATAAAACTATATTTTCCCTACATTTGCCTATTCGGGAGTTACATGCCTTGTTTATTTCAATATTCGATCTCGTCATATGATGATAATTCGGGCGCTCTAGAAGTATGTGCACCATGATGGCGGCGGACACCGGAATGTCGTATGTGTACCAGGTTAGGGACAGCCACAATTTTATTTCAATTTTCCTTAATTTAGTTCTAGTGCGAGTTCGGTGACTAGCCAAGTGACTCCCGTACAAATTGTACCTAAAATTATGGCCTAAACTTAACCTGGTACGCATACGACGTTCCGGTGTCCGCCATCTTGGTGCACATACTTCTGGAGTACCATAATTTGTGCATGCTAATATAATATCGATATTGGCTGTTCATATCATTACTATTACAAACTGACCGCCAATAGAAGTCATGTGTCATCTTAAATATATCTTGGCAATTCGATTTATTTCTTGTATATACGTATTCGGCTATATCTGCTTTTGCAATGCAATAACGAGTTTTTGACAGCCCTGCGTAGTTTTTATTAATAAATCTCCGCTATAGGAGACCCTTATTATCGTTTTTTTTGTCTGTCTGTCTGTCTGTCTGTCTGTCTGTCTGTCTGTCTGTCTGTGTGTCTAAGCAGTACCGTCTAAACGGCTGGGCCGATTTAGATGAAATCTCACACGTGGGTTATCTTGTCACGCTAGTAATGTGCGTTTTATAGAAAGTCCGGATTGGATGTTCGTTTCCATGGCAACAGCGAAAAACGCGCCGATCGTTTGGTACACTGGTACACGGCACGGCTCATCGTGATAAGCGTTAGGAATACGCTCGCCACCGCATCTCTAATTACTCTGCGTGGGTTCGCAGGTTCGAATCCCATGCGAAATGGTTATGTGCGAGAGGATTGCTGGACTTCTAGTCGTCGTAGGGTGGTTTACGTAACCGCTGGACGGTTACGGCTTCCTCCACCATCAAGTACATGCTTGACTAATCCCATACCCGACATGGACTGGTAACCGGACGAGAGGCCGTGGTTCACCATATGGTTAAGCCGTCTTATTGGTTTTCCCCTCCCCCGGGATAAATATGTAAATCCTATCCCACTTTTCTCGGTACAATGACGTCACCGTATTATCCTTTAGTAAACTGAAATTACGCGGGCCTCAAGCAATGGCGGAGATCCATATTGGGCGCCTACCGGCTTGTTATAACAAGAAATACAAAGCACTTATAGAAGAAATAGCATTTCGTGCTGAATTTTTGAAAATAGGTCACCGAAATGAGATTAAAGAAAAAACACTACAAACTATTCTATTCGAGTTGGGTCGCGCGAGACTAACTTCCTATCTTTTCCCTATGCCTTTATGCTAGTGGATCCGTATGCGTATACTGCAAGGATACTGTAGCTGGAATAAACATGACTATTCTATTCAATTAAAGAGTCCAGCTGCACACTAACACAAATGTATTTCTGTGACGTTTCGTCCGACCAGAGTCAGACTTCCTCAGTTTAGGTCTTTTTGGAGTTATCCCTTTGAATAGTATGTCATCAATAATGCCGGCTTCCCTCATATTATGACATAATTTGGTTACTTTGTTGCCAATTTGTATAGATATGTCTCTTGGAATGCACTTGTATACCAAGTTATCCGATAGATGCCGCATACCTTCTGTGATGTAGTCAGTTCGGGAGAGTATGCAAGTTCCCCCGCCTTTATCCGCAGGTACTATGATGATATCCCTTGCTGCTCTTTGTTTTTTAAAAAAAATTTTATTTTCATTTTTTGTCCTACTCGAAATATGCTAGATGGTTAATTTATTCATTTATTATTATGAATTAATATTATATTTTAACGCTATTTAAGATCAAAATTCAGCAATAACTTTAAACCTTTTTTAATTTTGAAATTGGTCCTCACCAGACTAAGCCTTGATTTATGTTTAAATGTTGGTTTACTTCCTCGTGGTTCTTTAAGTGCCCATAATTTCAATTACATTTAGTTACCCATCATTTTCGTAAATGCAATAATAAAACTTTTACATTCAATTACATCTAAAATGAGCTTCACTGATATTTGTGGTTCTAATCTTCCCATCATTACTTCTACGGCTAAATGCAAATTACATGTTTATGCATTGTTACGTCATACTTGATTTGATATTTCAAATTCATTTAGCAAATTTATTTCTTGCCATTGTTGTAAACTGCTTGTCTGAGGAAGTCTGACTCTGGTCGGACGAAACGTTACAGAAATACATTTGTGTTAGTGTGCAGCTGGACTCTTTAATTGAATAGAACTATTCTATTGTTGTAAAATTGCACACACTAAACCACTTGTTGTCAAAGAAATTTACCA